ATTATTGTAATTTAATTTTTTCCTAAAATGTATTCCCTTTATATTTTTAGTGTTGCTTTTTCATGGAACTAAAATACTGAATATTGTATGTTACATACATAACCTATGGGGAATAAACACGTTCTTATTTTAGTACCAGTTTGTCCTTCCTTCCTTCCTTCCTTCCTTCCTTCCTTCCTTCCTTCCTTTCTTTCTTTCTTTCTTTCTTCCCCCTCCCTCCCTCTCTCCTTCCTTCCTTCCCTCCCTCCTTCCTTCCTTCCTTCCTTCCTTCCTTCCTTCCTTCCTTCCTTCCTTCCTTCCTTCCTTTCTTTCCTTCTTTCTCTGTTCTTTTTTGAGACAGGGTTTCTTTGTGTAGCTCTGTCCTGGAACTCACTCTGTAGACCAGGCTTGCCTGAAACACATTGAGGTCCATCTTCCTCTACTGGGACTAAAGGTGTGCACCACCACCGCCTGGCCAGGTTGTCATTTCTTACATTTACAATGCCTCTTACATTTCACTCAAAGTATTATAACAGTACTTTTTGTTTCCTCTAGCCCCCACCCCAAGTCATATTGGTAACTAAGGAAAACAGCATTAAAAAAAAAGTCAGTTTTTGCAAAATACTCCTTAAAAAAGCATGACAGCATGTGATTTAGTTGGTTGATTTTGTTTGACTTATATTACTGTTTGAAAGGTTACACTTTTTTTTTTTTTCCCGAGACAGTGTTTCTCTGTGTAGCTTTGGAGCCTATCCTGGCACTCGATCTGAAGAACAGGCTGGCCTTGAACTCACAGAGATCCACCTGCCTTGCCTCCTAAGTGCTGGGATTAAAGGCGTGCGCCACCAACACCGGGCTAGGTTATACATTCTTAATAGAAATGAGAGAAGAAATCCAATGAAAAATGTAGTCAACTCTTCTCATAGAATGTTAAAGCTTGACTGTAAATCTTGGATTGTCACAGACTGCTTGTTCTTTATATTTACACATAGTTTTGAATAATTTAGCAATTAATAAAGTGAACATTTTTAGTGCTACTAAAAATCCCATTTTCCTGGAAGCGTGATGAAATTGAGGCTCTGTAAACGCACGTTGGTGTGTTTTCTTTACCTGGTTCTGAATCTCATGTGAGTAAGTGTGTAGAATTACTCACTGTGGAAGGAATTCTTTTGCCCTTCTGAGTGCAGCTCCCATGGGCACAGTTGGGCTGTCCTTCTGGGTACAGTTGGGCTGTCCTTCTGGCTTGCTTTGAGGGCACTTTAGCAGTTTTAAAAACTTAAGTACTAATTTCATAGCCAGTGTCAGCTGAATTTATTGAAGTAGGTCAGACTCTGCATAAAAACCTGTTTCCCAACCCTGAAGAGAGTTGTTATCCATTCTTCTGTTTGCTGGATAGTGTAATCAATTCTTCCATGTTGACCATACAATTTCTAGAGTAGTTTTAGGAAATCTAGATAGTTTGATTTTTTTTTTTAATTTACTTTTTAGGTATAGAAATTACCCGGAGTCTTTTCTGACTTTATTATCTTAAGGGCATTGAAAAAAGAAAAAAAATACTCATTTCTCTTCCCAAAGAAGCCAAATATTCAGTGTTGTATTCATTGGACTGGATTCACACACACATATCCATATGAGATATAAAGACTTTTAGAGGAATTCATTTTTTTCAAGAAATTATTAGGAGAAATTATTTTTCTCAGATTGAGTTTAATTGAGTACATTTTAAAATTACTATATGCTTAACATGTTGCTTTGCTTTATGGAAAAACAGTTTTTGATGGGGGATGTCCTTCTGTATGCTGTGAATATATGTTTCTCTTATTGGTTGATGAATAAAGCTGTTTCGGCCAGTGGACAGGCAGGATTTAGCCGGGTGTGAAATCCAAACAGGGATAGAGAAAGGTAGTAGGTGGAGTCAGGAAGATACCATGTAGCTACTGAGAAAGCAAGAAGTTCTGGCATCACTGGTAAGCCAAGACCACATAGAGATACATAGATTAATAGAACTGGGTTATTAATTAAGAGAGCTAGCCAATAAGAAGCCTGAGCAATAGGCCAAACAGTTTATAATTAATATAAGCCTCCGTGTGTTTATTTGGGACTGAATGATTGCAGGGCGGGGCAGGACAAAGCATCAGTCTACAATTTTTTTTTTTTCTGTTCCAGTAACTAAAATTTCTACTTGGTTATCATCAATCAGAAAGTAGTACAGGCATATTACAAATATGATATGGAAAGTAATCAGTAATTCACCATTTATATTTTAATTTGTAAGGGGAGACTCATGGGGCTTTGAGATTTGAAATGATTTTGTTTGCTCTTTTGAGACAAGACTTGTGTAGTATAAACTGGCCTAGCCCATACAGCCAAGCATGACCTCTTGATTTTCCTGCCTCTACTGAGTGGTCTTTTTTTTGTTTGTTTTTGAGTCAGGGTCTCCCTATGGAGCCCTGGCTGGCCTCAAGCAGACCAGGCTAGTCTCAAACCACAGATATCTGCCTGCTTCTACCAATGGGATTAAGGCACATGCTACCATCTCTGCCCTACCCATTCCTAGCTTTTGAAGTGATTTTTATACTACACCCAACTCAACATTTTGTTTGTTCTTTGGTGTTAGGGATTGAACCTTGCACATGCTAGGCTCACTCTCACCAAGCTACATCCCTAACCCTGAGGTGTTGAGTGTGTGAATGTGAGTAGGTGTGAGGACAACTTTGAGGAGTCTGTTCTCCCCTGCTGCTTTATGAGACAGTTTCTCTTACTGTTGCAGGCTAGCTGGCCCACAGGCTTCTGGATGATTCTGTCTCTGCCTTTAGGGAAACTGGGTGTTTAGTATTTGCTGCAGAGATTTGTCATCTATATGGGCATAATAGGGTAGGAGTTAAGAATGGGTTTTAGGGGAGGAGAGAGGGCTCAGAGTTAAGAGGAGTGTGTGCTCCTCTAGAGGACCTAGGTTCAATTCCCAGTACACACATGGCAGCTCACAACTGTCTGTAACTCCAGTTTCAGGGATCAGACTTTCTCATACAGACATGCATGTAGGCAAAACACCAATGCACATGAAATAAAAATAAACCATTTAAAATAAATTATTACTTCTTTAAAAAAAATGGGTTAAAAACAAAACAAGAAGAATGGGCTTTAGAGCCAACCTGCTGGGTTTATTTATATCTTCCCTGCTTTTGACAACTCTCATGAATATTTCCTCTTTTCCCAGCCTTTGAGTAGAAAAAATCATAACGAGTAGTTCATAGGTTATTGTATTTAGCACTATGACATACATGCTAGTTATTAAAAGATTATTATCCCTTATTTATAAAAGCAAATTACAGGCTGCTTTAAAAAATTGTTTATTGTGTGTGTGTTGCATGTGCCATAGTGCTTGGCATGTGGCAGACAACTTAGTAGTGGGTACTCTGGTTGCGTGCAGGTTCTAGGGATTGGCCTCAGGTTTGGTGGCAAATTCCTTTAGCTGCTGAGACATCTCACCAGCCCTTGAGTATTTATACCAATCATTTGATAGTACAGGCTGACCTTTGTCAATACATAGCCTGTTTTTTTTTGGGGGGGGAGGGCTTTGTACGTAATTATTACTATAATGATTTATAAAAAAGAATTATTTTTCAGGCAACTGTGTTAAATTATTGTTCATCTCTGGAGAGGGAGGTGGGGCCCTGGCCATGGTGAAGACCTTTCTAGAGGGAGGTGAGGACATGCCTGCCCTTTGTACATAGCCTGTTTTTAATTCTGTGTTTGACCTCAATTTTTTTTTTTTTAGTAAGATATTTAGTAAGTAAATATCTGTATTTGTTGTTAATTTATGGTACTTTCATGAAGTTGTGTTGTGTTGTTACTTTTCTTATTGCTGTGACCAAATGCTTGAGAAGAAACCACATGGGAAAAGGTTTTTGTTTTTGCTTTTTTGAGACATGGTTTCTCTGTGTAGCCTTGCTGTCTTAGAACTTACTCTGTAGACCAGGCTGGCCTTGAACTCACAGTAATCTGCCTGCCTCTGCCCCCTGAGTGCTTGGGTTAAAGGTGTGTGCCACCACTGCTGGGCTGGAGTTTTATCTGCCCTCCTCCAGTTTGAGGGTCTGGCCAGTCACTGTGGGATGCCACTGCAGCAGGACCTTGAGAAGGCTACTCACACTGAATCCTCACGTGGGAAGAGGAGAGGACTAGAGGGACTCTGATTAGCAAGCCTCAAGGTCCTGTCCTGTTTTTACCTCTGAAAGGTTCCACAGCCTTCCAACACAGCTGTGGACCAAGTGCTCAAACATGAGCCTGTAGGGGACATGAAGTAAAAGTAAACATGGTGGCTGGCAAGATGAATCAATGGCTGGAGGTGCTTTCATGCATGCTGGACAGACAACTCCTCTGGATCCCATAAGGTGGCAGGAAAGACCCTCTCTTGAGAGTTGTCCTCTGACTTCTACACATCACACACACACACACAAAAAAAAAAAAAAATTATGTTGGTTTTGTTTGTTTGTTTGTTTGAAATAGTCTTACCATGTATCCCTGACTGGCCTGGGACTCACTCAGTAGACCATGCTGGCCTTGAATTCATAGAGATCATCCTGCCTCTGCCTCTCCAGTGCTGGGATTAAAGGTGTGTACCACCGCATCCAGCAAATAAAAATTGAAAAAACCAAAAACTGAACCCTAATCACAGGTGCCTGTACTGATCATAGCTGAGTGGTGCCACTGTGGCTCTGCTTCCTGAGTGACTGCCCTGCTAGGCTCTGCAGTGGCTGTTTACACCTACTGGTGTTGGCTCTAGCAGTTCTCTGTGGCTCCTGACTTGGTGAGGGGGCGGTCAGTAAGGAACTTGCCCATCACATGGTCACTTGGTGACGAGCAGTACTGGGTTCAGGCCTCATCTCTGACTTAAGTAGCTCCTGTGTTCTTTCCCTAGTTTGCATTGCCCCTGTAATATAGAACATTTTTATAAGGAAATAATAATAATAAAAATACCCTCATATGCTAAAAGTTTACCTTTTTTTTGCTTTTCATTCTAGGTGCCGGAAAACCCCCTATGTTTGGTGATTATGAAGCTCAGAGACATTGGCAAGAAATTACCTTTAATTTACCAGTAAAAGACTGGTATGGATAATTTTGGCTTGGTTTTATTGTTTATCATGGTTAATATAGATTATATGAAGGTATTTAAAAGAAAAACATCCTTTTCTTCATTTCTTGCATTTGGTGCTTTGTATACGTTGTCTTTCATATTGCATGCCATCTTTGAAGTTTCACAGTCCCAAAAATTATCCCTAAACTTGAAGTTTGATGCAAGAACACTGTATATCTTGGAAACCCCTCTGGATGGTTATAAGCTAAAAACAGCAGCACAAGCTGGCAGTATTTTTGCCCTGTTCCCTTTCCTATACTTTTTTTTTCCACTAAAGCTTACTATGACATGAGCTCTAGGTCAAAACACAAACATCTTGGCAATAGTAATTAGCTTTATGTGTGGAGTTGAAAAGGAATAAACAGATTTGAATTTGTTTTCAACTGAAAATTTCATGTCCCTTTGGCCACCGGGGAGTACTCTGCATCTAGTGTGGGTCCTGGCACGCTGCAGATCCCCATGAACATCTCTCGATGTCTTTTCTCATATGGTCTTCTTTCTGTGGCTGTCTCTAGTGTAAAGGAAAGGCCACTCCACCATCAGTGGTTTCATGGTATGGTTTGTATGTTCTCCTGTTATGTAGAACTCAGAACACTGTAGAAATTGCTGTTGTTCTTAACCACTAAAGCAATGGTAATTTATCTTAACTTTGTACATCCACCTGAGGCTTCACAGTGTCTCTTAGGAATCTTAGTGATGTAAAAATGTGAAGAGTGTAAGTGCTGCGCAGACTGCCCCACGACAGTTCTCCATCCCAGTAGTTTGGTGGTTGATGGCAAATGAGAACTACTGCTAAGTACTTAGGTTTTGCCAGGCCGTTCCTTGACAGCTTTACATGTTTAACTCGGTGCTTGACAGCTCTGTGAGGCAGATGCAATGAAGCGTTATGCAGTGTGCCCTCTGGTAGCATGAATTTGGAAGTAGCACAGTGGGTGCCTGTCATTGGGCAACCCTTTCTAGAGACCTGACCCCTTGCGCACCATTTTTCCTGGCAAATTCAAGCTGTGCAGCTCACGTGGAGAATACACTGCTCTTTGGCTGCTAGTGCAAGCCACACATGGGACTCAGGATGTTCCTGTGGATGTCTCTGCTGGAGTGTCCAACTGCCACCAGCTGCACTGTGCCCCAGTGCCCCACCCACATCACTGAGCTCTCTAATGGGCTGTGAACGTTTTCCTAATCCTCAGCTCCGTACACACCCACATTTAAAGAGCAAATCTGGGCATGAACAGTAGATTACTTGATGGAGAGCCCTTTAAATACATTTTTAATGTATTCTTTGAGAATTTCATATGTGTATTTTGATCATATTTATCTCCCCAAATCCAGTGTCTCCCAGAGACCTCTCTGCTTCAATCTCCCTCCAACTTCATGTCTTCCTTTTGTCACCCACTGAGTCCATTTACCGCCAGCATCTTTATGGGATAGGGCCATCCACTGAGCATGGGCACTCTACCAGACATCTGACCCTCCCTTCCCTAGCAGCCACCAACTGCCAGCAGCTCCTCAACTCAGGTGGACTTGATCCTCCCCCTTGATGAGACTCTTGTTGAGTGCTAACATAAGTCTTTAAGTTAGAGAAGTGAGAGCTGGTGGCCCAAGATTATGAGTGATTATTTGTGGGTTATGCAGTTTGGTTTAAATTACTGTAAATTTAATCTACTGTAAAGTAGATGGAAGAAGTTGCTTAGCTGTAAAGTACATAACTAAGAAATATATTGATATAAGCTTGGTTTTCCTTTTAGAGGCACAGTGTTTGTTTGTTTTGTTCTTCTTCTATAATTCCTTCATATCTGTAACTGAAGGAGCTGAGCACTTTTGTGGACTGCAGACAGGCTTTCGCCATTGGTTCACAGACTCTTTGCTATAGTAGGACTAAATTATGTATTCTAGCTGAATTATTCTCAAAGTCTTCATCAAGCCTGCTTACTCCATGTACTTTTCCACTTTCCATTAACTATATCTTCATGAGTTCTTTGAAACTGGCTTTTCATTTTTTTTAAATTATGCATTAGAAATGCTATTTTTCTGATTTGTTACAGTATCACATACAAATTGTTTTTGTTGCGCATATTTTGTTGTACAAGTATAATTAATTTACTATGTCTGCTAAGAATAGAGTAACAATAAGTCCCAGGCACCTGGGGCATCCCTGTTTGTATTTAATGTCATAGGGTAATTATTAATGTCTTAGTCAAACCATTAAGTTTAATTAAGTGGCATGAGATACTAAATTATGTCTTGAATATTGCTGATTAAATGGTGCTTTTTATTTTTCCAGGTATTTTAACAGTAGTGATAACAACTTACAGTACTGGGGATTGGATTATCCACCTCTCACGGCCTATCATAGTCTCTTATGTGCATATGTGTGAGTCCCCCCCCCCTTTTAAATATAACTGAATATTTATGCCCTTAGACACAGTGTGATCTGGTTATTTAAGAGTGATTGCAGGCCAGGCTTGGGGCCCATGTCCTCACGTCTTTAATCCTAGGTAGATCGCAGTGAGTTTGAGGACAGCTTGGTCTACAAGTTGAGTTTCAGGACAGCCAGAGCTGCTACACAGGGAGACTCTGTTTGGGAGAAGAAGAAAAAAAAGTGATTTCTTATAGCTTCGATCATATTACAAGTTTAAGAACCACTATCAGAATTTGAACATTTCTAAACATTTCTATAATGTTTTGGTGTACAGGCTAGAAAGAAGGCAAACCTTCGCATTTGTTTTGGAGCAGAGATATTACCAACTGCACATGAGTGCTGACCAGTGTCTAATACAAGAAAACTTTAATTTTTTGGAGTAGCCAAGTAGATGAAAAATGTAGGTCCCACCTTCCCAAACCCCGTTTCTCTGTGTAGCCCTGGCTATCCTAGAGCTTGCTTTATAGACCAGATTGTCCTCAAACTCAGAGATCCACCTGCCTCTGCCTCCTGAGTGTTGCAAAATGGCTTTCTTAACTCATCTGCTAAGTTAGAAACTTATAGGATCCAAAAAAAAAGAAGTAGTAGTAGTTTATAGATGAGGACTTCTGTTTTGGTGGGGATCCTGTTCACTTCTGTAGCACCATTTCTCTTAGACTTCAAGTGTGTCAGCAAAAATTTGAGAAACATCTTCAAAGTATCTCTTGAGCTCATTTCCATGATTTGTTATTTCAACTTTTAACTGTTTCATATTTTATAAAGTAAACTTTCATGGATTGAAAGTCAGTTCCTAAACATCGTGATGGTTAGTTATACTTTGTAGTGTTTAGGATATTAGAATACGATTTATAACTAGATTTATCAATAATAATGGCTGAATTTTATGTAAAATTTATGATTAATATGTTTATTATAGCCAGTTGCTATGGTAACTCAAACAGTTATAAACAAAGTATGTTTTTAATAATGAAATATGACATCAGATTGTTTTTTACACTAGAACAGCAAGGGTCAGACATCTGCATATAACATGATTTTATTGGAAGATGGGCAAGGCAGATGAGATACTGTTTTATATCCTCAGTGAATTTTACATGATCAAATACAAGCTTCAGTATTGATCCTATTAACAGCAACTGCCAACTCTTAGTGTTCTGTGTTCTCAGATGTCCTTATTACTAACACCAAGAGGAATAAAGTGCTTGTGTATATGCTTTGATTTGCAGGGCAGAGTTTATAAATCCCGACTGGGTTGCTCTGCACACATCACGTGGATATGAGAGTCAAGCACACAAGCTCTTCATGCGTACCACAGGTAAAAGAACAGTTGGTATTGGGGTCAAAAATTTGATTTTTTAAAAACAATTCCAGTAAATGGATAAAAATTACCATTATTGATCTTTTGTTTTGTTTTGTTTTTTTGAAACAGTGTCTCACTATGTAGCCCTGGCTGTCCTAGAACTCACCATGTAGACCAGGACAGCCATGAACTCACTGAGATCTGCCTCTCTCTGCCTCCTGAGTGCTGAGATGAAAGGCATGTGCCACTATGCCCAGTTATTGTTCTAATGGCTTTAACATTGTATAACTATGTGTGTGTGTATATATATATATTCAGTAAGACTAAAAGTATATGTAAGCATTATACCAAGAGTAAAGGAATAATTCCGTGTGTATTTTACTTGATCCCATGAACACCCTAGTGAAATGAATTTACCCTTATTTTAAGCTGAGGAAACTACTGAGGCTCCGTTACATGATGTGGAAAACATTAGATAGTTAAGAACTGAAGCTGCTGCTTTAGTATCCTAATCCCAGGTCCCTTCCACTTTGTTAAGGCAATCCCTACAGTGGTGCTTCATACATTGTGTTGTTTACACATTGAATAACCCACTCAAATGCCTTTCCTCTCTTTTTGAGTGGTGCTGGGGACTTACACTAGTCAAGCCCCTACCACTGAGTTACATCCTGTCATCAGTATTTATGAAACATCGCTGTGCACTGCTCTAGGTTGAAAGTAATAAGCTTTGATTTCTTTACAAGCATTCTATAAGACTTTAGTTCTGACTTGCACCTTTTGTTGTTAATTAGCCCGAGGACCAGTGTTCACCTGTTAGAGACTGTCACCCGGGAGATAACTTGTGTTTGTCTGCTCTCTTCCATGTCTCTCTCCTCCTTCCTTGCTTTCCGATGTTTTCTGACTGTGTGTTTATCCCATGGTTCTCAGGACCAAACTAATGTCTGCATTCCCAGAAGTCACGGCTGCTAGGGCAGCCCATTCTAGTTTCAGAGAGTGCCAGGCCTTAAACATTTCCTCCTGGTAACAGGATAACACGACTTTGATGATAGCAGTGTTGTCCTATTCGAGAAGTTTTGTCTTTCTTCTAATATGACTGTACAACAAGGAATTATACATTGTTGTTTTTCTCTGTTTTGTCCTTGTCCCTGTTCTGTTGTCTCCCACCATCCCTTCTTTTGTACACACAGACACACACTCACAGACACATGGTGTGTGTGTATTTCCAGTTTCTTCCTTACCTAGGTCTCTCAAGCTCTTGTCTTTTTTTTGGAGACAGTCTTATAATGTCTTGTGTCTTGGCTGATTTGGAGCTCATTATGAAGCCCCAGGCTTCATCCTCATGCTACATCCTGCAGTTGGTAAAATAATGTGCTAGGCTCTCTCTAACTTGTTGTTGTATGCATCAACTAGTGAAAGTTTGTAATTTTTATAAATAGTAGCACTAAATATTCTCCTTCGGGCTGTTCTTCCAAGCAGAACATTTTGAGTGTGTTGTTACAAGAGAACAGTCTGTATTCCTATGCTTTGATGCTCAAGTTAGAGCAGCAAGAGTGCAACTAGGCGTCATTGTCTTGTTGATTAAATGTCTGAAAAGTCAGAGAAGTGTCTTGGGATGCAGCCTTTATAAGCAGAGGGAATGAAAAGGGCTAATTGTGTAGGGATTTGTATGTAGTGTTAGTTAATACTGTTCTCATTAAAGGCTGTTGTAGGAGGAGGAAGGTTGGTGGAGAGCCTGATTTTTTGCTTGTTTTCAGTTTTAGTTGCTGATTTGTTCATTTACATCCCTGCGGTGCTTTTGTACTGTTATTCCTTAAAGGAAATCTCACCTAAGAGAAAGGTAAGTTTTCAAGCTGCCTGACATTTCATCTCTGAAATGTTTGAATTAATACTAGCTTACTAAGGATGGGCTTTAAGGAAGCCCTGCTCATTGGGAGTAGATAGGATAATGAATATTTTATCTTCTATTGATTAATTTTCATTTAGAAACAACAGTTTAACTTACTGTGCTCTCTAGTAGTAACAGAGAGCATTGAACTTTGGAAGTACTGCACTGTTGACCCATGCCATGCTGGATTTAGTGCTAAGCTTGTAAATCAGAATTTTGAAGAGGCTCATGACAAGGACTCAACTGAAGGACATTTTGGAAAGTTTGTGTGTCTGTTCACAGTCATTATCAAGTATCCTTTCTTGAGAATTTTACACTGAATGATTAGGTAGCCAGTCATTTGATTAAAAATGCCTTTCTGGGTGTGGTGTCAAGGGCGCCTTTAATTCCAGCACTGTGGGAGGCAGAGTCAGGTGCATCTCTGTAAGTTTGAGGACAGCCTGACCTACATGGTGAGTTCCAGGACACCAGATCGACATTGTGTGACTCAAAAAACCAAAATAGATAAAAAATTCTTTTCAGTAGTTTTTACTTTTAAAACTTTATCCTGTGGTTCTCAGCATCAAACTCGTGAAAATGGAGTATTTTGATTAAGGAAGGACAGTACCTCAGGATGTTGGGCATTTGTGAAAATGGAGTATTTTGATTAAGGAAGGACAGTACCTCAGGATGATGGGCATTTCTTCCATGCTAGATGCACAGTAGATATCACTCTGCTATAGTAATGACCTCTTTATCCACCATACTTTTCTTCACAGATGGCTGTTGCATTATGCATATTGCTGTATCCAGGTCTTATTCTTATCGACTATGGACATTTTCAGTATCCTTTATTAAATTAGAAATGAAATCTGTTATATATTATGATCTAGGCTCTGCATGCAGCATTGCTGTCTGCTGTTGTCCTATATGCTAGTATACTTACTATGAACTTTTCACTTGCTACAAAGGGTTGATAAAAGTCAGATGTGGTGAATTAAAGTCTCAAGTTTCTAAGTTATGCAATTTTTGTGGGGATGTATTTTTAAACAATTATGTATTTCCTTATTTTTTAGAAATTATTGATTGATTGATTGATTGATTGATTGTGTATACACTGTTCTTTTTGCATGTATGCTTGCATGCCAGAAAAGGGTACTAGATCTCATTATGGATGGTTGTGAGTCACCATGTGGTTGCTGGGAATTGAACTCAGGTCCTCTGGGAGAGCAGTCAGGTCTCTTAACCACTGAGCCATCTCTCTAGCCCCATTCGCTTATTTTTAAATGGAGATAACAGTAACCCTTACTTGGTGTTTTGCTTTGAGAACTAAATGAATTAGTATTTATAAAACACAATAATCTGTTGGAAATGCTGATCATTGCATAGGTATTTATTGTTACTAGTATAATTGCTGTTTTTTTTTTCGTTTATTTATTTTGTGTATATGTGTGGGTGTGTCCATGTGGAGATTAGGGGGCAGCTTGTAGGAGTTGGGTGTCTCCTTCTACCATGTCACTTCTAGGGATTGAACTCAGGTGATCAGGTTTGGCAGCAGACCCCTTTACCTGCTGAGCCACCTCACTGGCTATTACTGTTTTTGTTACTTACCTTGTGGACTCTAAAATTGTATACTATTTACTTAGGCATAGGTAGGTGTTCTTCCCAGTTGTTTTGGATACTGCATCCTTTTTTTTTTTAAGGCTCATATTCTTTAATTTGTTTGAAAACTTTCTTGCTTTTCTCCTTTCTGATCTTTTTAGCCAGGTGTTAGATTTATAATTTCCCTCTTCTGTATGTTTGCTTTCTGTTTTGTGCTTTATAGAAAATTACCTGTCTTTACCGTTAACACCTCTATTAAATTCCATTTGTTTTGTTAGGCATATTTTGAATTTCTAATTAAAATTTTTTTCGTTCTCTTCCTCCTCTTTGTCTTTTGATTCCTTGATCGACAGAAGCATACAGCGACAACAATAATTTTGTTGTTGTCATTATTGAACTTGCTGCCAGAGTAGTTTTGTTCTGTAAATTTGGGATGTTATAATAATTTTGTGAAGTAGTTTAACAGAAACAAAACTATGCTGTCCATATTTATAACTCGTTTAAACCTTTGTACATTTCTGTTTAGCAGCATACAATATATTTGAGGCTTCTTGTATACTTTTTTTATCACCTTAATATTTTAATTTTATATTTAGAAGCAAGCTTTCAGTTTACATGCTATTTTTAAATCACACAAGAAACATGTTTTATAAAATGCATCTTAACTATTGAGCTAGTTTCCTTGACACAGGGACATATATAATTCTGTGAGTCTTGGCTTTGCTTTGTGGGGTGTTCTTGGAGTATCTTATGACTGGGACCTGCTAGGGTCATTGGCATTTTGCTTAGCTCTAAATTATAAACAGATGGAGCTCTACCATTCTCTGCCATTTTTTTGCTTTTTACTTGGCAAGTGTTTTAAAAAAGGCCTCAAAGGAAAGGGGTAAGTGACTTTTAAAGCAAAGAATTAAAAACTTTCAGAGAGTTGATTTGCACACTTATCTGGAGGAAGGTGCCCTTTGCTTGGGTGGTTTCTTGTGAATGTGTTGGCTGTGCACGGATGAATGGGAAGAAAGCTGTTGAGCCATGTTCTGTATTCTTGCAAATATTCATAGCTACAGGACTATTTTGATCTGTGTACACTTTGGAGGCAGTGTGGGCAGGTTTGCCAAAGTACTGCTGTTTGCCAGGAGTGCTGTCACTTAGAGTTTATTATGCTATCCACTTATTAAAAATACTCCCGCCTAACATTTTTCTTTATGGCTGCTGCATCCTTTCATGCCTGTAGCAATGGCATCTAAGCTAAATGCTAATTAATGATAGTGGTGGGTCCTTGGCTGGAGAAATGAGTTTTTTTTTTTTTTTTTTTAAATAGTTGTGAACTTTTCAGTTGTGTTGTGAGTGGATTCCCATCTTAAATCTGTATTGATTGACAGTATTGTTGTATTTGCAGTTGTTGTATTACATGATATTCATATCACTTTTCAAGGGTTGTTAGCCTTTCTCTGTCTTGCTGCTCATCCTCTCTCTTTGTTCTAGGTTTGTGTTGTTGATGAAGATAGCCTGTACTGTCTTGGCTTCCTTCCTTCTGTGTTGGTTGCCCTTCTTTACGGAAAGGGAACACGCGCTACAGGTTCTAAGAAGACTCTTCCCTGTTGATCGTGGATTGTTTGAGGTATGTTTAAAAATGGACCCACTCTCTTCTATTACTGCACCTCCCTTTTAACCTTGGGGAGCTCATGGAGGAGATACCAGGGATAGTAACTTCCATTTCCTCCTCCAGTCATCCCTGTCAGTTATTTAATCCAATGTAGCACCCCTGGCTCAGTTGGTGCTTTTTAGTGCCTTATATGAAATAGGTAATATTTTTCTGTAATTAGATCCATAATTCAGTTGTACGTTTTTTTTTTTGTTTTTTTTTTTTAATCACATTGGTCCATAGTAAAAGAGCATTGGATGCTGCAGCTACCAAGTTAACCATTGTGTTGGTTTACATTGACGTCTTAGTCTGCCACAATTATTTGTTAAACTGATAATCTTGTTTGCCTCGGAAAGATCTCATAATTCCTTATGAAATATATAACCTTCATTCATAGTAATTTTTAATGAGAATCTTTCATTTAATGTTATCTTAATCACTCTTGTTAAACTTTTATTGCATGAATAATTTGATCATTTAGACTTAGTAATTAAATTAAACAAACCATTTATTTCTGGAGCAAAAGGTCTTTTAATAAACTTAGAGACAACATATTTATAGCTAATTTGGTTTTGAATAACATTTCTTTTGAAAAGAATTAGAAAGCATTTTTAAGTTTTGAATAGGTAATTCCTATAAAATATTTTTCATTGGATTTACAGGAGGATGGGACAATCATTTTGAAGGAGGCTAAGCAATGTTGTTGTAAAGGCAGAGGTGTGTGCGACAGTGTGGCTGTACAGATTGGTGATATCCCCATTGTTGCTAACATCACTCATTAGGTGCTAGACCCTTCCCTGTGATTTCTGATCCCCACAGCTCTAAGATGGTTGTTGTCCCTATTGTACAGATAGGAAACTGAGGTCAGACTTTCCTAGACCTGGCATGTGGCAGAGACATTATTTCAAGTCTTGATAACCTTAACGGCAAAGTAAAGAAAAGCTTGTTTCTATAAAAGCTGCCTGTTATTTGTTGCATCTTGCATTTCAGAAAATATCTATCATGGTGAGAATGGAATGGTGTCAGGCATAGTCAGTGTTTCTGTCAGCAGTCCCCCGTTTCTTGCCAACCACAGAAGCTATAGATGAGCAGTTCTCAACCTTCCTAATGCTGCGACCCTTTAATACAGCTCCTCATGTTGTGGTGACCCTAACCATAAAATTATTTTTGTTGCTACTTCATTACTGTTATTTTGCTACTGTTATGAACCATAACGTAAATATCTGATATGCAGGATGGTCTTAGGCAACCCCTGTAAAAGGCTCATTTGACCCCCAAAGTTCTTGACCCACAGGTTGGGAACCACTGCTGTAGGCCTTGTCTTTGACATGGGTGGGACAATTGTTAGAGGCCATCCCTGTCTTGATGTCATGCCTGCAAAACTGTGAGCTTTGCAGCTGTGTAGAGGATGGGTCGCACTAGCTGGGGAGCTGAAATAGCACAATTCCTAATGTTTTAAAGCTTCTTGATTTATTATCAATTAATCTTGTCATTGCTAGTACCTATTAGATTATGTGACATAAAGTTACATTTGTAATAAAACAGTGCAAAATGTAATTAATATTTATTTTACAAATTTGGGGAGATTTTTTGCCTAGTATATTGCTTTTTTAAAAATATTAAGTAGTTCATTAGGATGTGGATTATAGTTGACTAATGTTTTATATAATCCGAATTTCTAAAAAGAAAAAGAAAAATGCTTGAGGCTGTGGGTGTATATTTTTATTGCTTGAAGAGTTTAATTTACTTTGTTATAAATGTGAATGAAAGTTTTATGTCTCCAAAGTTCATTACCTGGAGGTTATAGGCTGTACTTCATGGGGTTTAATATTTCTTTCAACTATACCGAAATGTAAAACTAACAAATCTTTTTTAAGGATAAAGTAGCCAATATTTGGTGCAGCGTTAATGTGTTTCTGAAGATTAAGGAAATTTTGCCTCGTCACATCCAGCTAGCAATCAGGTAACTAACATAATATATATAGTGTTTATAAACTGCCCTTCAAAAATCTTACATCAAGTGGGGCGGTGGTAGTGTGTGTCTTTAATCCCAGCACTCAGGAGGCAGAGGCAGGTGGATCTCTGTGAGTTCAAGGCCAGCCTGATCTATAAAGCCAGTTCCAGGGCAGCCAGGACCCAGAGAAACCCTGTCCCAAAAAAACCAGCCCAGTTGCAGTAATATGCTAGTTATCAGTTCAACCTTGTGAGTTCACTACTTACAGAACCACCCAAAGTGAGGAAGCCAGCAGGTTCTGTGTTGAGACATATACCGGTGGTCAGGCTCTAGGAGCTACCTGTCACCGTGCTGTCACAGGCTGTCTGGCTTTTCTCTTCCCTACTCCACAGCCATCACTAAGAGAAGCTGTACAGCTCACTCCCTTATGGTTTGTTCTTTCTCGACTTGAAAACTCAGATTGCAACTCTGTGGAATGAGGGCCAGGACTCTCCTGAGAGTAAAATTATAAGTATTTGTGTTGTAAATACAGTGTTGTCTCCTGAGTCCTAGTAGTGTTTTCTTATTTTCTAGTATTTGGTAACTGACCTGCAACTATGTATCTTATCTTTATGATGTTAAACATAGATGTTAAACAGACTGTGTATTTGTATGTGTGATATTAAATGCTAACTGATGTATGTAATACTTAGTATTCTTTGATTTTTGTATTATATTAGAATCATGTACAAAATGTATAAATATTTCAGTGTGTATGGTTTATTTAGATTTTAGTTTAAAATTTTAATAAATAACGAAGTTTAGGCTGAGATCAAATTAGATTGATGGATGATATAATCCTTATTTTAAAAAGAAATTGTTTTTAGCTAGATTTCTATCACAAAGAACACATTTTATTGCCTTTTAGCTTTTGCCTTACATTTTTGAGCTTGCTTCCTGCATGTATAAAATTGACCCTTCAGCCCTCTTCCAAAGGATTCAGATTTACTCTGGTAAGTTTCTTATTTTTCTTAAGATGTCCAGTTCTTCCTGTAACTGACATTTGATAAAAACACCAGTAATTATTTTCTGGTAAGATTGGCTGGGCTGCAAAACAAAACACTCGATTATTTGACAGACACCACACACCGTCCTAGTGCAGGTGCTGGATTAGGAATTAGGCTGAGCAATCAGAATCCTTACTTTTCACTTTGTATTGATGACTTAATGAGGGGATACAAAAGTGGGGATAAATGTGCGAAAGTCATGCTGTCGAGCAGCTGGCATTATGTTTAGTCAGGTACAGATCAAGTCTGTGAGGTGATGGGGAAGGGAGAGATCCTGGAGGAGGATTTTAGACTGTTGCCAAGCAAGTGGGATTTTAGCCAGCTTTGGGAAGCTAAACAAGGATTGGAACTTCTGGACAGCAGAAAAGAAACTCAAGGCAGAAAGAAGAGAGTGAGCAAAAGGACAGAGAGCGGCCTGGGAATAGATGTTAAACAGACTGTGTATTTGTATGTGGGTGTCTGTTTCTGTGTGTTTAAGGGTAGGTGAGGAGACGGTAAAAGTGGGGCAAGGTTTAGAAGATGTCAGATGTCATCATCTCACCAGCCCAATTATTATTATTAGTTTTTAAAACTTACATGCCTAAAATTGGTTAAATATTATAAATATTCTGTTTGATTTTTTACCTCTAGGTAGTAATCATAATATTCAAACTTTGAATGTTTTTCTTTAGATTTATAATTACATTGATACAAGTTTGAAGTTGTTAAATCATGTTTTTTTATCCTCTTCTTTCTTAAAGGTTAGCTGTGCACTATCATTCTTTCTGTTTTCTTTCCAAGTACATGAAAAGTCCATTCTCTTGGTGTCATTGTAAGTAGAAATGTTTTAAGTATGCATATATAGTAAATATGTATTTATAAAATAAATTATAAAATAAATATGTAAGTTTATAAAAATGTTAATTTAAATATAAGACTATACAATATTTTTGCATAAAATTATGCTAGTTATTCTCAGAAAGATAATGCTTTATTTTATGAAATATATTTTAAGCCAGAACAGTTGGTAAAATTATTATTGACATATTCTTATGTCTTCCTGTTCTTCATACTTTCTATACTAATTAAACACATTCCTCAAAGTGGCATTCCTGTTTCTTCTCTTTGCCTTTTGTATTTTATTCATTTCTACATCTATTGAATAGCCTTAATCTCTACCATTTACTTCCATGAGGTCTTTCATATGTTGTCTCTTTTTTGTGTGTCGTGTCCCCCGCCCCACACATCACAGCCTATAGATGAAGTTTTCAGACCCTCTTGGCAATCCTTAAACAGATTACTTTAAGAGCATTAAAATTTTTCTCTCTCTATAGAAAGAACTGGGTGACAATTGGGCTGTGCTATCCTAACACTAAAATAGTACAGGCCTAGAATAATGTGGAATACTTGAATCCTCCCCAGATCAGTCCCAACTGTCCACTGCCTTATGCCCAACCTGGTGTTCTCGGTGGTCTTGTGGAAGACACCCATACAAAATGACCAGGGAGATGAGGGAATGGTACTGCTTTTCTCAGGAGGAGCTCTGTGCTGGAAGCTCTGTGGAAGGGGCCTTGGCATACAACTGCTGCACAAGGTCCTTGCAGATGGGAGTTCATGTCAGCCCTTGAAGTTGGCACCTGGGTTAGGGCTTACCACTTCAAAGGAAACAGTAGACCTGGTCATGTAGGACCTTATGAAGACTACTAGAAGCTTTGGCTTTTATTCTGAGCGAGTGGCAAGTCAGGCGGATGAAGGGGAGAGTGAGGTTGTGAGCACATGGAGGGTGGTGCTACTTGATACATCTTGAGGTTAAGGACAAATATTCATCTTTATTATTTTCAGTGCAGTGCCTATGTGTAATAGTTTCAATTGGTTTAGTAATTATATATTGAAAGAATAAATGGGAAGACTCAGGAAACCTTGCTTATTGAATACTTACTGTTTGTGCTGATAAACCCTTTCTGATTTAGCACATTGAAGCAATGGAATAGAAAGTCCTCTGATGTGATCCTTAATAGGAAGCAGTGGGTTTTCAATGCCAAGCCTAAATCTTACATGCTGGTTGTCATGTAGAAAAAACATTTCTTTAACCAAAAAAAGAAAGAAAGAAAGAAAGGGGATATATTAGTTATTTTTCTGTTGCTATGATAAAACACCATGACCAAGGCAACTTATAGAAGGAAGGGTTTATTTGGGTTTATGGTTCCAGAGGGCTAGAGTCCCTCACCGTCATGATGGAGAAGCATGGCAGAAGGCAGATGGCTGGAGCAGCAAGCTGAGAGCTCACATTTAACTATTAGCGTGAAGCAGAGAGATCAAATTTGAATGGCACATCAAACTTCAAAGCCCACCTCCAATGACATACTTCCTCCAGCAAGGCTGTACTTCCTAAATCTACCCAAGCAGCACAACCAAGTAGGGACCAGGTATTCAGACATTTGAGCCTATGGAGGACATTTCTTATTCAAACCACCACAGGGGGAGAATTTCAAGCCTTTGAAACCTTTTTAAACACAAGGGGGAGAGAGATTAATAGTAATGGCAACAGTAATTCAACAGCTTATTAGAAAAGCTTATTTTGTATTGCTAAAAACAAATACAAGGTGATACTTGAGAGAAATTAATCCTTAGCCTAAGTCACACAGTGAGTGGCAGCCATGGGACTAGGACTCAAGGCTTCTAACTGGCCTGCAGTGGATGCAGTCAGATCCATAAAACATCAGTCAAAGGCTGTGGTGGATCACCCTGAACACCAGATAAGAGGAGGCGTCACTTACCAGTATCTTGTTTCCAGTCCCTGTGTCCTTGTCCTTTCTATGTGGCCTCTTAACTATTTAGTTTTCACCTTTTCTTTTTTTTAGTTTAACAGTTTTAATTGTTCCTTTTATAATGTACCTATGTTGTCCTTTCTTCATTGATGTGGCAATCCTGTTTTTCATAACTTTAGTTTGTAACCAGCTGAGTAGCCTGTAACATGGAAGAAGTTTGAGAACCCTTGCCTTGGGATGCACTTTGTATTTGCAAAGTGAATGAAATGCAAACGCTTCTTTCTTTGGTCTTTTCCTTAAGGACTGTTCATGTGGCACACAAAGGAGTGTTTGACAGAGACCTAGTCAGGTGGCTGTTGTATAGTTTTGAGAAACTGACACTTTCCGAGTAGTCACATGGAGAACTTTTTTTTTCCTTTTAAACCAACCTTGAAAATCAGACATGTAAAGTATATTTATATTTTTACAGACTAGAGGTAAAATTATATTCTGTAATATTAAAATGCTTTTTCTTATCTTTTTAGACCAGTTTGCTTAGTTTTAAATGAAATTCCTTTCATGTCAACTTGGTTTTTACTAGTGTCAACATTTAGGTGAGTCAAATCAACTTCTATATATTATTTCCAGTATGATTCTTACAGGTTCACTAAAAATTTTACCAAGTAATTATAGTTTAACTTGATGCACTTGATTTTCCCCTATTTTCCTTTACAGCATGCTCCCTCTTCTATTGAAGGATGAACTCCTAATGCCCTCAGTTGTGACAGTGATGGCGTTTTTAGTAGTTTGTGTCACTTCCTTTCCACTGTGTGAGAGCACTTCTGAGGAACAACTGCAGCTGACGCCCTTTGCTGTTTCTGTCAGGAGGCGTCTTCCAGGCTTTACGTTTCTTCCCAGAATTATACAGTATTTGGTAAGTTAGGCAGCTTTGTTTTTAGCATTTATTTGGTATATATGTGTCCTCATGCCTCATAGTACACGTAGAGTTCAGAGGGTAACTTCTAGGAGTTTTTTTTTCCTTCTACCATGTGGGTTTCAAGGATTGAACTCAGGTTGTCAGGTGTGGTAGCAAGCACCTTTACCTGCTGAACCATCTTACTGGCACTGCTCCATTTTTTAAAAAGTATATTTTCTAGCATATTACTATATTTTTTTCAAGTTACTGAATTTTTGTTGTTGAGATAGGGTCACACTCATTATGTAGCCCAGGCTAGCCTGGAACTCACTGTGTAGCACATGCAGGATTTGAAAACTTTGTTCCTCCTGCTTTAGCCTCTGGAGTATTACGATCATAGCTACCTGGCTGCAATGCCTTTTGTAGATTTCTGAGGTAGTGTTCTATATCCACCATTTAACATATGTGCATAACTGTCACTATCATCTAATTTTAGATTATTTTTACCACCATCCTCAAAGAAAGTCCCCAGTCAGAAGCAGTCATTTATCATTATACCATCAGTGCTATCACCCGCCTTGGACAGCCACTAGTCTGCTTTTTGTCTCCAAACTTGCCTTTCCTGAATATTGCATATTAAGGAATTACATAGCCAGCTCAGGCTGCTGTAACAAGATAGACAGACTGGATGCTTAAGCAACAGAAATTTACTTCCTCACAGTTGGGCTGGAGGCACTGAACATCAGGGTTGATTTCTAGTGAGTCTGCTGTTTATGGCAGAGCTATGTTTTGCTTTTTCTCATGTGGCCTCTTGTCTGGTATCTTCCTTCATTATAAGATATATAGTACTTGGAATATAGTCATAATTGCCTTTCTAAAAGCCAGTGACCAAATATAGTCACATTGAGGGGTTCAGGCTTCAACATGTGAATTTTTTATTTTACATGTATTGGTGTGTGTGTGTGTGTACTATGGCACATATATAAAGTTCAGAGGGCAACTTGGAGGACTCAGGCTTGACCGAACACTTGTACCTGCTGAGTCATCTTGCTGGCCCTCCATGTGTTTTGAGTTGGGACACAGTTGAGTCCATGACATGGAATCAAAAAATGTGGTCCTCAAGATTGGTTTCTTTCATGGCATAGTCACTTGTGCTGCAGTATATATCAGAACTCAGATTTCTTTTGATTGATAAACTATATTCCATTAATGTGTTCTACATTTTTTTTTAAAACCATCGATTAATGGACATTTGGTTGATTTAGGTATCAGAAATAATACTGCTAGGAACATCTGTGCACAAAATATAGAAACCCTTGCTTTCATTCCCTGGAAAGTATACCTTGAAGTAGAATTGCCTGACACCATGGTAATTCAATACTTGATATTTTAGAAATTACTTATTTTTCAAAGTCAAGCATGATTCTGAATTGTCATGAACCTATGAGGAAGGTTCCAGCTCCCATGTCTTTGACAGTGAGTACTGTTGCTGTTGTTTAAATCAAGCTATCCTACTAGCTGTGAAGTAGTGTCATTACATTTCAATTTGCTATTTTCTTCTTTTTTAAAAATATTTTAAAAGATTTATTTAATATGTATACAGTGTTCTGCCTGCAGGCCAGATGAGCACACCAGATCTGATTATAGATGGTTGTGAGCCACCATGTGGTTGATGGGAATTGAACTCAGGGCCCCTGGAAGAGCAGTCAGTGCTCTTAACCTCTGTGCCATCTCTCCAGCCCCCCGTTTGCAGCTTTCTAATGAAAAATGTTGAGTATCTTTTCATTCCTTTACTGGCCAGTTGTATATCTTTTTTGGAGGGGAATTACTCAAATCTTTTATTTTTCCTATCTTCCCCCATCAACTGGTAATAAAATTTGCATATTCTGGGCAACCTCTCAATGATAGTTATAGCTATCATTTACTTATTTTTAATTCAGTTGTGTGTTTTATTTTTGAGTTGCACAAGTGTTTTAATACATTATTTAAAATATATATTTTTGATTGGGTGGGAGACATTGCTCAACAGTTAAGAGTGCATACTGCTACTGCAGAGGGCCTGAGTTCACTGGATGATCACATGGGAGAAAAAATATTTGCCAGTCTGGTTTATTTCATTTATTTCTCCTTTTCTGTAAATGTCATTCCTTCCTTCCTTCCTTCCTTCCTTCCTTCCTTCCTTCCTCTTCCTTCTCCCTCTTCCTTCTCCCTCCCTCCCTCCCTCTCTCCTCTTCCTTCTCCTTCCCTCTCTTCTCCCTCTCCCTTTTCCCTCCCTCCCCCTCTCCTCCCTCTCACCTGAATAGAACTCCATTGTATCTGCATACCATGTTTTCTCTATTAATCTCTTGGCCTACATCTAAGCTGGTTCTATTTCTTTGCCATTGTGAACATACAACAGTAAGCATGGATGTGTAGATATCTGTGGTATATTGACTTGCAGTGCTTTGGGTATATATCCAGGAGTGTAATAGGTATATGATACAGTAGTGTGTGTGCGTGTGTGTGTGTGTGTGTGTGTGTGTGTGTGTGTTTGTGTGTTGGGGGGGGTTGTTGTTGATCCAGCACACTCAGTTCTAAGTGACTACTCTAATTTACATTACCATCAGCCGTGTAATTCTAACTAGGGCAAGTTGGCAATTACAAAGTTAATTTGCCTTAACTTGGTGGCTAAGGATGTTGAATACTTTTTAAAATATTTATTAGCCATTTGTATTTCTTTTGAGATGTGTTTGTTTGGTTTATCCATTGGGTGATTTATTTCTATGATGTTTTATGTTTACTGTTCTTTATGTATTATGAATAGGGATCTCCTACCTGGCAGATCTGTTCACTCACCACCTGTAGGCTGTCTTGTCACACAGGCGATTGTTTCCTTTGGTGTACAATTTTTATGTAATCTTTTTGTAGTGTTTTCTTTTTCAAGACAAACTTTTTCTGCATAGCAGCCTTGGGTGTCCTAGAACTCACTCTGTAAACCAGGCTGGCCTTAAACTCAGAGATCCACCTGCCTCTGCCTCCCAAGTGCTAGGATTAAAGGTGTGCTCCACCATTGCCCAATTGCTGTACAGTTTTTTAAATTCCACATTACCTCCTTAGCATTTTTCCTGCTAGCGGGGTCATTTTCAGGAAGCCCCTGTCTGTCTGCATCTCAGTGTAGTCACCCTGTGTTTTACTCCAGCCCTTTCAAAGTTTCAGGTTTTAGGTCCATTTTGAATTGATTTTTTATGCAGGGTAAGATATGGATATAATTTCATTTTATATCCATGTCTCCAACACCATTTTTGAAGAGGCTTTCTCAGTGTTGGCTTTTGACATTTTGCCAAAGATGAGTTGGCTATAGATATTGGATTTCTGGGTCTTCTCTCCATTGATCTACTTGCTTATTTCTGTGCATTTATATGAAGCTTAGGATTTTTCCCCCCTAGTTCTTTGAAGAATGCCATTGGAATTTTAATGGAGAGTGTGCTAGATATATAGGTTGCTTTAAATAATATAACTATTTTTACAATATTTTTTGACAGGCAATTTGTTTTGTTTTGAGACAAGGTCTCATGTAGCCCAAGATGGCCTTAAACTCACTGTATATGAAGCTGGCTTTGATCCTCCTGCCTCTATCCCATCAGTGTTGGAATTATAGGCTCATGACACCATGCCTGGTATTTAGATTGCATTCTTTTTTGATCATGTTTTTTCCCTCCCACAGTTCCTTCCAGATCTTCCCCACCTCCGTACCCATCCAACTTTATGTTCTCTCATTCTTTAAAACAAACACAAAACAAGCCCCCTCCCATACATAAAAATGAAACAAGCAAAAGACCAATAGGACAAAAATAGCAACACAAATCAGAATGAAACGAAAAGTCTAAAAAAAAAAAACTATTTTGAGTTTGTTTTGTGTTGGCTACTACTTGGCATAGGGTCTTCCCTGAAGTGTAGTTAATATACTCTGAGATTCCATTAAAGAAAACTGATTTTTCCTTTGCCAGTAGAATCCTTTACTGATAGCTTTTTGGTTAGGGGAGGGAGCCCTTGTCCACTTCCTGTTCTCATTGCTGGGACCTGTGTGGTTGGAACCTGTGTAGGCCCCTGTGCATGCTGCCAAATTCTCTGTGATTTCATATGTGCATCAGTCCTGTTTGTCTAGAAGACACTGTTTTCTTGGAGTTATCTGTAACCTTTGGCTCTTATAATCTTTCTGCCCCCTTTACCTTTTAGAACCTTGAGCCTTGAGGGGGTGGGGAGTAAGTGCTTTGAAGACATCCTGTTTGGGACTCAGTTCTCCAAAGTCTCCTGTTATCTGCACATTGTTCAGTTGTGAGTTTTTGTGTTCGTCCCATCTACTGCAAGAAGAAGCTTCTATGATGAGGGCTGAGTGAGGCATTGATCTATGGGTATAGTAGAATATCATTGTATTGCTATGTTCCTTTAGCAGAATCATAGTGTTAGGTTTTCCTCTAGGCCCTGACATATCTAGTCTCAGGTTCTTGGTCACTTCAGCAGTGTGAGGCATGGGCTCCATCTCATGGAATTGGTCTTAAGTTAATCAGAGAGTGGTTGGTTACTCCCGTAACATTTGTGTCACTATTGCACCATTATATCTTGCAGGCAGATCACTGTTGTAGATCACAGAGTACCTGGTAGTGTGCAGAGTACCTTAGACAGCATCTTAAATGCACGGCTCAGTGAGTGGAGAGTTTTGTACTGTTGGTAATGCCCATGAAGGAGAAGGTTAGTAAAGTAGAAATGAAGAGGTGGATAAGAAAAACAAAGATAGATTAACTGGAGCCTGTCCTAGAACTTGCTCTGTAGAAGCAGGCTGGCCTCGAACTCACAGAGATCCGTCTGCCTCTCCCTCCTGAGTGCTGGGGTTAAAGGTGTTAATCTGCATCTTAAGGGGGCTCACGTGAGCTAAGCCACCAATGCCAACTGTAAGGGTGGTCACAAGGTGATCTTAAGGTGAGGAGTATTATAGGCTCCTCAATTTGTTCAACTCATTGAGTGCTTACTATTTGCTAAAC